TTTAAAACAAGAACGGAAACAACAGTATGTAAGATGTGAGAACGTGTATGTTGCTAAACTCCAAAGAGAGGAATCGTTGATCGAGACCAAATTTGAACGCCCCGCGTATTTATTGTGCGTTGTTCTTATGGTGCAAGTATTACAGGTATTCTGCGGAACACCACCGCTTATGTCATACACTAAACGTAACAACCTGTAGTAGAATAAGAGACAAGAACTTTTGCTGCCTGTACTGTACTCCAATTTCCCAGAATCATGATCAACGCCACTTAGAGGCATGGAAATCGAAGACCTCAAGCAGTTGGTGGTACGCATTAATTTGTTTATTGTTGCCGTTAAATCTGCTAACGTAGAGAGGGTCACGCAGCACCCCAACTCCACGCATCACAGAATCAATGAGTATCGTGTTATCTCGAACTGCATGATCGTAGTAGAATCACTTCTGCTATCGATAACTCGACGTAAAATAAGCACCGCTCTATCCTTAACATAATGGATACCCCTTGTGGCTTGAATTACCGAAGTGAGATCAGCTTGGAAAAGCACTAACACAAAATTTATACATATGTATCCCTTTTCACGGACCTTTGAACGTGAAGCATGTGATAAGCATGAACTGACAACTCATGTTAAGCAACAACTTTGTTTCTTTGGTGCATCAGTTTGTGAATGATGTGTTGGCGAATTCGATGTCACGGCTTTGAACAACACCGAACCACAAGGAAATGGCCTTAGGTAAAGGATGATTACCCCTCATTAAATCAACTAGAAACAAGGCTACGGAAAAGCTGGTGCATGGTTTGATGCACACTATCATCTGGGCTTCAGCAAAAGACGAAGAGTTATATGCTCCCATAAATGACGTATGTCTCAAAGAACCCACCTCGATAGAATTTGACTTGAACGTTTCACCAACAGGTTGTCTTGCATGCCCATACAACCTAGTAATGAAATTGTTGACTAGACTACTAACCCTGCAAATGAAATGTTACATTTGGGGTTAATTAGGAAGCAAGTGAATCGACTCTGAACAAGTTGACCATTATCCACTGAAAAATGAGCATCCTTCGGCAAAATTCTGGTTGGCAAGACCTCGCGTTTGAATTGCGCAATCAACGACATAATCCTGCAATCCGAGAAACCTTCACCTATGCAGAATAACGCTTTAGGGTTTCTTAGTAGGCATACCGAAATTCCAAAGCGTCAGGTCGAGAAGAGTTAGAAACTTATTTATATTCCTGAAATTTTGCATCATCAAGACGTTACTGATGCTGTGGTCCAGATATCAAGATTGGCATGACTGTCCGAACAAGGGTTCTGACCTAGATCTGTAGTCTTTGATAGTTGATTATCCGGAATATCATGTTGTCGACTTACTCCGATTAGGATACTATGACACATGCATCGTAGTTGTCGTTTATCGGGCACAATCACGTTCAAAATTGGCTTCTGACTTAAGAGTTGACCCGAGCAGTAGAATGTGTTGCAGGCAGACCCACATATTGCGGGATTTCAATGCACAAAGTTTAAAGATATCGGCATCGCCGATGAACTGTTCTATTTCGTAAAATTCGTTGGTTTCCGAAACGCATTTGGAAGAGATGTTTTGACAACAATATAACGAACACCATTTCTTCAGAATTATTCGCAGTACTCTAGATTAATAAGGTAGAAGAATATTTACATGCAGTTACCATCAGCATCACGCTCTATAAATGTAAGGCTAATTGTCAACACCAGTATCTGTCCAATTCGGACTATATTTTAGTTTAGCTGGCACATTTGTAAGTATTTATTCATAGTTTCATTTTATCGTTCGACGTCAATCAAGTCCGATATCTACCGATTGTGCTACAACGTAAATGCAGTGCCAAATAACAAGAGCGCTAAGCTATTCAATAAAGTTTCAATGCAGCAGTCATTCATAGGCAGGAGTTACAGAAAATTAGCCGAGATTTTCCTCTCAAAAACTACGAAAACTGAAGACCAAGTGTGAGAAAAAGCGGGTTTGATTGAATTAAGCATAGATAACCAATGGTTTGTACTATAAGCAAGTTGTGATATATATGCAAAAATACATGTTTTTATAGCATTATCGTTGTTGCGTTACAAGTTTTCTCCTTATTCATGCTATGATTTTTATTTTCTTGGATCTGAAAAATTCCCATTTATTCAACAACAACAGAGCACCGAATGTAAACAATTGTTTTAGCACACGTTCTTGTGCATTTATTCCGAGCAACTAAAGCTTATCACAGGTTTATTATATATTGCCATCCGTTTGCGCTGTATTTTCCAAAAGAAAGGTAAGTTTAAGTCTCAAAGCTTATGGCAAACATCCTAAAACCCTTTGATTTTAGGTGATGCAACACTCGTTACAATATAATTAATGATAACGGTGCAAGGCTGCCATTAAGACGATGGATAAATAGTGTCAACCGCACTGGATCCGGTCCGCGGGCGTTAAGACAACATGTTAAATGGCAATTAATCGACAAATGTTGCTTCCTCTTACCCATATCCCTTCGTTCCTATCCGACACAATTTCCCCTGCTCTTCGGAAGATGTCTTTTCAGATCAGCCTCTTACTAAGTAATTAAGAAATAAGGATCCAGTTATCTACAACTGTTTATTTGGTGTTGCGGCACGAAAAGTGTATTACATCAGTCTTTTATAGCTGGACACTGAAAAGCATGTAACGCCTGACCCGCGGAATATTACGCGCACAAACCTTACTATTTCACTTTTCACCACCATCATGGCACCGGAGTTAAGTTTACCTTTTTCCACGCATTATAACTTAAAGATGCCGAAGCACTTGAGTTCCGATTTCGTTCACAAGATGCACCGTCCTTATCGTATTGAATAACCACATGCAACTTAAGCTGCAATAAGGATTATCGAGCAAAAAGAAGCACAAATGACGTCTGGTAATCTGCCCACTAAAGTCATCATGTTTCTACTAGAAGGAATTCTTTGCACTTAGTTAATATCTAGGTAGTTAACGTCTGGTTGTACTTCCTACGTCTTAAGTAAAGCTTTACCCAGGGGTTGTTCCTATAACTGCCAACTAGTGTGCCCTGTCATGCTGATATTATAATTTTTACAATATCCAATTAATATTATGCAACCTTCGTTGTCATTAATTCCTGTGCTCAGTTTGAGCAACATGACGGGTCTCACCAGTTGGGAAGTGGTAATTTGGTGTGGTGCTCGAAAATCTGCTCCAAGAACATTTGGATTACTGCTTCCGATGGATGTCACCCTTGGCCTGGTTTTCTAATTGCAACTCATGCACGCTCGTTTTAGGACAGATGTTCAAAATCCACTCATAATCCGACAATTATAATCGTATCTGTGCTCCATTTGTGAATATCGTTGAAATGCCAAATAAATTATACCATCTTTATGATGCAACCGTTAGGTAGCTCTAAGAATGTCTTCCTTTGAGCTGTTAATGCACCGATAAACCCTTTTATATTTAACGTCTCTATCGCTAGTGTGATTGTACCGTGTCGGTAAACTTAAAAGGATACTGGTAACAATGGATTTGCTTACTTCAATAATTAACTCGCTGCCATATTATTAGATTGTTCTTTCAATATCGTGCCTATTTCATTTTATCAGAAGCAAATATTTATAGTTGAATGTTATATGTTGTGCAAACATTTGGATGCAATAGAAATGTCCAGTGGTATAACGTTAACACTTAACTGAGAAATAGGCTAAAGGTTATGGCATGCTGCTCTCCGACTGTCACAAGCAATGTGCTATTAATTGTGGCTCCTGCATGAGTGAATCCCCATTCACAGAATATAAACTACTGAACTATCTAGACAAATGTACACGGATACTTGAAGTTGAATTATCTTTTTGTGATGAGAATTTGCTTCTATTCATCAATAAGTAACGGATTAACAGTTTAGAACAAGTCAATCGGCTTGTATTTGGTGGGGTAACTATCTAATATTGGTGAATAAACGGAGTTTGTGTTTTATGTATCCTACTTTACTCCCATCGAAAATAGAGGGATTTGAATGGCCTCTAATACCGAACCATAGGAATGGTTATTCTTTAGATGCGATGATTAACGCCGATTCATTAATGCAGCTTGAAAATGTTTCATGAGTAACCATATACTGAAAACAACCGTTCCTGGGTTAAGGAAGCTTGGTCAGTTTTTAAAGAGTTTGTATGAATGCACAAATAAAGTCGGTAAGTTGTGCTAATTGGTGAATTGCGTCCCTGACGCGGAGTTTTTCATGAAAACTTATTTTTTATTGCAGAAAGTGCTGCTTATTAGAACATTTGTTATGAACACGTGCACTGGCAAATGTGGCATAGAAGAAAGTAGAGCCTCTACTCGGTTTACTGGAGCTCAACCGACACGTTGCTTAACAAAAGCAATGGCCTGCAGTGTGATACCTTTTGACTTTGCGTAGGTTATCGTGCCAAATTTTAGCATCAGTATTCAAATGGTGACCATCAGGTGGCGGATTGCAGGAGCGTCGGTCGACTTTCCATTGTTTTGAGTTATTGCGGATAGTAAGTAAAATAATGCCTCAAAAAATATCATAACATTGTAAAATAAGTGTTTGCGGTTTACATTATTAGCTAAAGCGCACGATAAGCAACTAAAGTTGCAATATTCGAAAACTGACAAGGTTATGGCATAGTGATGAACCAAGTTATAATCTTTTAGCGTTCAAACTAATTATTACAGTTGATAATGTCAACTCGTTATTCTCACGTCTGTCCTCCTTGAGTAATAAATACACCTTGTTTCTTTCGGTGTAATTGCATGGTCTAGAAGCTTTAACTGGCATACTGCGCAAGCTGACTTAAACATGTTTTTAGATTCAACTCCCTTTCTATCTGCTTAGCTGACATACATTCATTAGCACTACCTTTACACGAGGGTCTCACCATACACGAGATTGCGGAGAACGGGCAGGCGTACATCTTAGTAGCCAATGTGCATTGTATGTGGACCAACTTACTTGTGGAACTGTCACGCAGAATTCGGGAAGTGATAATGTTGCCGCATTGCTGGAAGAGTTTCTCCAGCTCCTTCTCTGTCATAGTTTTGGGCAATCCACATATGTACAAGTTGGCTCCCTTGATTGATTCGCAGCTCGGTCGGGCCAGCGAAACCTATAATAATTGACAAAGTAAGCTTATTTAATGAGTTTATTCAGCACTAATAATTCCGGATGACAGTTACAATGCTAGTAGCAAACCAAATAATATTCCACCAAAGCATGTATTTAGTTTTTGACTGAACTAAAAAAGTATATGGGCCGATCCGTGGAGGCAAAGAAATCAGTTGCTACAAAAGCAACAAAAAAACAACAAAATTAAATGTTATTAAAATCAATGCATGCTTGACTACTTGAAAACACATTGGGCTTTTGAAAAATAAATAATGTCGAATTGCCTTGGAAATGCAAAACCATAACTTATGCGGTTGAAAGTAAGCAAAAAATAAAAGCAGCATCCGAACAAAATTTGTAAAACCTTGCAACTTAGATTGTAACCAACGTGAAGCTTTGTAAGGGTAACGTGAGGTGTATTTTGTATATTTATTTAAATGGACTCTGAAACAAGCCATGCGGATGTCTTATCCCGTTTAATTTAATGTCACACATAGGCGTCTGCCCAGTAAATACTATACTTTAATTGTGCCATGTAGCTCTGTATAAATTCCGAGATATCTCATTAAGGACATATTTTATACGTTGAGTTGCTGTGCTGTGGCCGGAGATTTCATGTATGTAAGACAGAATTTTGCCTAATACTATCTCTAGTCTACTTTGAGCCATGTAAATTTATGCATATCCAATCACTGATCAGCAGCACATTCAACATTGGATTACTTCAAATATCGCGTTTTATGGTCGGGTGATTAACTAGAGATGCCATATTTGATAGCGTGTTCCAACAGTCATGTTTTCTATGTTTGGGTTAACGGATGCAAAATCAAATTATGCCAAATAATCACCATCAGTTTGTGAAGTACGGAAGCAATTCACTTCTAAGTATGTGTACACACGCTGAAACAGTGATCTTTTTAGCTTTTTATCTACACAATATGCTGAATGTGCTTGTAACAAGCATTTGAAAACAACCAAACGAAAATGCATGTTGTTTGCTTTTTTGGCTAACACTTTTTAAATTTTAAAACATTAACCTAGCAAACTTAACTTTTACCATCCATGAAACAGCAGCAATGTATCTTACTATTTTGCAAATGAAAATCTTTAATTTAGCTTGTGCATGCAATAGTTATCTACAGTAAAATGAATGAAACGAAAGATTTAACAGAAAAGCTGACAACACATGCTAAGGTGTAGAGTAAGATTTACCATTTTCAGTGTTCTGCTAAATAAAAAAGTTAGTAATAAAGTCGAATTAAATAGTGGTTAGGTGATTAGATACAGGTAAACTTTTCAATCCAGGATGATGTGCTTGGTAGTAGGTTTTCTAATGAAATAAAATAATTAAAGGACAAGGCCTATGAAGCTCAATAATTGTCGACGTCACGATTCACTCCATATATAACAAGTGCATGCTTGAATCTGAACCATTGTACGGATAAATTTTTTACTAATGTTTATAATTTTGACCACATAATAAAGCTAAACGTTCAGCACTATCTTATTTGTATACGCAGCATGCATACATGCAGTGTGCAGAACAATATATTGAGATAAATTCAGAACCGTTGGAACTGGTATACAGAATTCAGTTCTGTCTAAACAATTGATGTCGCGGCTTTCTGAGCTTCCTGAGCGGTAAGTATAATTTAAAATTAATGGTTTTATTTGCGTATTTTACAATACTTATATCGTAGAAATTAGACTTAAATTTTGTGTATAATTATGTGCATTGCAAGTTAAAACATTTTAAATCATTAACAACACACGGTCGTTGATGTTAGACGGTAGAACTTAGTGACATCCACAGGTAAGCTAAACGTTTGTCAATAATTTGGCAAGCATAAGTTAAACTTCCTTTAGAAACGACATAAAGCATAGGATCTGCAGTTTTTGATCTGCATTGATTTTGCGAATACACTCGATCGTCTAGATAATCTGATTCTCCTTTTCTAGCTCCAATATTACGGTATCGGTGGCCCTATCTTTAGCTGCATAGCCAAATTTTTCCTTCAACGATTATTGGTCTGAGCCTGTAGCTTCTCTGACCACATACGATTCAAACGTAGTGTGTTCAGGCCAACTTCTAGGACCAAATTGATTTTGGAATTTATTACTGACCTCACACAAGCAATTGCTACAAATTGTCCACATTTTGTCAAAGACAGCAGGAGTTGGCGCAGAACTTATCCCGATGCCATCGGTATGTGCTTCAGTGTATCCTAATTGTGCTACATCAATCTTCAAAATTAAATCTACTGCAGTTTCCCATGAGCAAATGCAAAGTACATTTCACATGACATTGGGGTACCTACTCATACATGCTCGGAACGCAACTACTGCAGCGACTTCCATCGAACGCGAACTAGAGCTGTTGGTCCAACATAAACGTTGTTGTTCCCAGCAATCCAAAATCGCCTCGTAAGCATGCAGTCACCACCTCAGGCTGTTGCGACGGGCGTTCGGACAGATGCTCAGTGCGTACTTTTGTCTTCATATAGAGTACGCAATTCAACCTGGCAACAATGTTTAAAGCACATCCTCAATGTACTCGTCCATCCTCCCCGTTTGGCGTTCAAATACATCATTAGAATGCGCTATCTACCGTAAAAGCGGAGGTTGAAACGCACGGGAATATTCAGCGGACAGTATCGTCGATTCCTGGAGGACCTGGTAGTTGTTTATTGATGTTGAGCAATTCAAATCATGCATGCCGTTATTTGGGATGTCATTACATGGGATTACCAGAACAGTATAGCTGTGTGGATTGCCCTGGAAATTGTTTTCAATTCGTGTATGTCCCCAGTGGAATGTCGTCCACAAATCGGTCGTCTCTGCGTCTACACTAGCCATTCTTAAAAGTCGGTTAGAGACGCATTCGGCCACTTACATTTTCATACCTAACATTATCTTTCCGTCCTACTCCCGTAAAAGCATTGAATATATTAGTTGTCGCTTATTGGATCTATGAAACTACGCCATGAAAGGCCATTGCATTAAAAACGACAGTAAAGTGTTAAATACCATTTTTCACAAGCGCTTTTCTATAATCTACCAGACAACCCAAGGGGGCAAGTAAAGCAGTGCTTTCTAATTCATATAAACTCATTAGTAATTGATCATTGTGGGTGATTTTGTGCTACCTAGACATTTTAGAGAAAGGTTGTGTGTTGCAGATGAAGAAAGTAAATGAATTCCGATTAACACAGCTCGTTAGAACTGTGATTGCATTATTTTATCGCATATTCCTGCATTAACAACAGTGCTTGGTGAAGGACGAAATTGCGATTCTAGGTTACGCGATAGAAAAAAAGCCAAAAAGAAACTATGCATTCATGTTATTAACCTTGATAATCTTGTTTTGCACGCGAGTCCGGTTTAGTAGTTTGATGGCACGTGTAGCGTCCTTGGGAGAAGTGTAATTCACAAATCCATACCCAAGACTCTGACCTGTACGAAAATGAATTGAAATCAGGTTAAGTTAATTAGTTCCAAAATACACTATCCAAGAAAAGAACAAATAAATAAAATAAAGTGTTGAATCTATACACTTTATTTATAATTCTGCGTTTACTATTATATATAAGACAAACTAAGAATCATTCGTACGCCCAATACTATCCGTCCGAATGTCTATATTATAAACATGATATGTGTTAACGTGACTCTTTCTAGCTGCATTTCTCCGCTTGTTAGAATTTGGAAATTTCTGTAGTCTTGATCCACTTCTGATTCTAAATGTTTCGATCATAAATAATTGTCATATCTGTGTATTTTTGCAGATCTTTCTATTGCCTTATACTCCACAACTAGTCGCCACCTTGGTCTTGGATTTTCCGTAATCCCGAAACAACACCTTGCAGTGCCTGTTTCAAGGCTGCTAAAAATCGAGCAGCTGCACTCACAAGTGTTTATGGCACCTTAAGTTCCACATTGCATGCGTTCTACTACCGCTGGAGCATTTTCGGTGTTTCCGTGGAATCCAAGGTTGGTGGATTTAAACTGTTTTCAAGGCTTGCAGCAGTGTGATGCAGTCGAAAGTAGAAAAGAAGCAAAACATTCCTTGTGGTCTGAATTACTTCGTTGTGAGAATCCTCGTGTGTTATATCCAACAAACTAACCGGATGCGCCTCCAAGTTGCAGATTTGATTTCCTGTTTTGTAAACTCACAAGCACGAAGTCCTGACGTTGCGGGCAACCCAGATTACTTGTGTTATGTCACACAGGCATAGCTATCCCGGGTTGTGAAAGCCTGTGTACTGAAGACAACTAGATATTGCAAGAAAGTAATGCAGCTAATTGATAAGATTGTTAACTCTGTAAATCAACAACAGGCCAACCCACCTGAAGCTAGGTAAAATCCCCGTCTTTCAATACTGATCTTAACCGACTAGGGGTGTCTTAACGTTGTGAACTTCCAAACTCCTAAGTCCAGTCTTCTGCCTCACCAGATGCGATACGATCATGAAGTCTGTTACAGGGAGCCTAATTGATAGACAATTATACTTGGGTGCGGACAGGTTAAAAGTGAGGCGAATTTCCTGTCTTGTAAAGAAGTATAATCAGTAAAGCCAGCCAATAAAAAGTACTTTGTGAACGGCTCCAGTCCGAGATTGATCTGGTGCAATATAACTAAGCTGAAGGGTTTGAAGATCCATGGAAGTCAGGACCTGGATCCTGAAGGTAAAGCACTGCGAAGGTCTACTATCATCGAGATGAATAGATATAACGGTGCTGGAGAAATAAATATTAGTAGTTTAAAATTTTGGGTCGCTTCCAAGATTCTACAAACGAGACAAATAGATTGTCTTTACTTCAATCACGCCCGAAAGGGTACCCGCTATGGCTTGGGTGTAGCCTATCAAAGTTTCAAACACCCGGCTTATTGGACTTTTGCCTCAGAGTTGAGAGGACAGTGTTTTCGGCGGCATTTATCTGGCTACGTTGGCAGAGGTTTTGTTAGCACGTTTTTCGTGGTCAAGGCTGTTGGAATTTTGATTTTTCTTCGGCTGGGCTAGAATTGCTGCGGAGAAATTCCTGGGTGGTTAATTCGGAATAGCGAAAAAGGGAAGATCTAACACAAAGTCTTTGCATTTTCACGTACAAGTTCAATGAACTACGTCGTTTAGTCGTATTTGAGCGATCAAACGTAGTAGGACTTGGAGAGGCGGTTGTATTCTGTGGTGATTGCCTGGGAAATCAAGCTAACTGGCTACCCACGCTTTTGCCCTTAAGATTATTAACTGCCGGCGGTGGCTTCATGCTTTAAATCAAATCTTACCTGTCTGTAAGGCATATGTGAGGGTACAAAAACCACGATGGCCTGCGTGAGTATTTGTGTTGCTAGATCCATTTCAGTGACGGAGAGCTGCTCGTGGATTAATTTTATGATAGTCTCCAGAACCGGTGTTTACATTAGCTACCTCAGCTTCGAAACTAAATTAGGTGCCCTTGTTTGCTACTCACAGCGACTTCCAATGTCATCGAGAACAATGGTTTTAAGTCTAACTTATGTCCGAAGATTGTGAGGTCAAATAAAATTTCATGCAAGTAGTACTTGTGGGCGAAACAACACAACACTTATGCCAACCGACAAATATATAGTCGCACTCAACTCCGTCGTGTCTAGACGTGATGTTAACAATCCGTAAAGATGTTTGTTGACGTTCGGATCTTAGACCACCTAGCAGAAAGCAACCATACAATTCTCGCAGTTAGCACGGATCTACCTTTGCCACATTCACGCCAGCCGATGCCAGCTTACAACCACGGTAAGGCTAAAGTTGACAGTCTGACGTGAGCATCGAGCTATGTAGTTGGGTTTTTGCCACAAGCTACACCTGTTGGCAAACTTTGGGCTGTTATAAAGAAGTAGTGATATTACTGTGTTCGTGGTCTATACCAATGCGGTGTCAGTATGTTGGACCGGTCAGAAGAATGGCATAATAAACCAACGGCAGCGAAACATGTAGGAGAAGTTATTCCTCTCCTACTTTCCCAAAGACTACATGGGGTAGTGAAATATTTTAAACATTGCAACCACCAACAAGCACTGGCATTCTAAAGAGCAGCTAACAACCGCCGACGAGAATCTTTGCTTGCGTAAATCGCTGCCCCAATTCGGTAGCTCATCTAATAGTTCTAGGGATCTCGAACTGATGGCACATAACCTCCAGCACTAAGCATGCGTCCTCGTTAGCGGAACATGTCGCTTCCATGTTTGCAAATGACCCAGTGTCTGTACCTTGTTAAGTATGTACCACCGTTACTGAACTCCACATACTGACTTGCGGTTTCAAATCTGCCACACATGACAAACTTCACTCACTCATTCTCATGGCTCTATCGGTTATCCTCGCACATAGCATAGCCAACTTGTTGACAGCTCACTGTCCGAAGGTTCTTCGTCGAGTGACGTGAAATTCTGAGTAGCCAAGCCGATTATAAAAGGCGGTGTTCCTAGCAAAGTAGATAACTATGGGCCAACGTTCTGACGTCCGTTTTGTTCAAGGTTGCCAAGAACTTCTTCAAGAATGGTTCACTTCAGCTGCTCCGATCAAAACATTTACTAACACACGCACAGCGTGGTTTTATGCTATGCCGCTCATGCATTAACAACCTGCTCGTGATGATCGATGAATGGTTGTAGGCAGTGAACCAGGAGAAGCAAATCGACGTAATATACATCGATTTCAGTAAAGCTTTAGACGAGCTGAGAGTGTACCGTTTTAGTGGAGTACTGCACCAGTGGAGCCAGGACTTTCTCATTTGGCGAAATTGAAGTGTACACGTAATTACCATCTAACTGACTGTTATCCCCTTACTAGCAAAGTAGCCAAAGGTAGGATGCTGGTACCCAATCTGTCCGCGGTCCACTTTAAAGATCTGCCTTAAATTTTTAGCAACCGTGTGCTTAGATTGCGAATGACCTGAAGAGCTGGATACTAATAAGCGTCACAAATGACTACGACCTGCTTCAGTTAGATTTCAGCCTCCTCTGCATGTGGTTAGCAGGGGTCCTACTCTAAATCGACCCAAGCAATGCTGTATCCATGAACCTAGGGAAGGATAGGGATGGCCGAATTAACACTGCTGACGGCCAACCGATACATCTCACGCCTTCCATGCAAGAAGTAGATGTACTCCCACGCTGCGATCTGAGGTCCATCGACAACACTAACAGAATATAAAATATCGGACTGCGTATCCTTTAGGCGCTCAAACGCAGCTTTTTACTTGGTCTGCAGAGGTCGTTACTGTTCTCTTTTGTTTTGACGCTAGACCAGTACTAGAATACGATTCGTCTGACTACAGTCAAACTACCAAAGTCGATGCTTAGAAGATCGAAAGTGACCAGCAATTCGCTACCAGGCTCATTCTTGATATACGAGGATTGCCATTCGTAGACTGTTGCGAGTAACTGGGACTTTAAACATTGTCTTACCATCGGCTCTGAGTCTCTCTGATTGTGATCTACCGCATATTCCATCTCGGTGACCTCTAATTTAAGGTCGCTGCCTAACTCGTAAACGGCTACCCATGATTCGTAGTAATAACATGTAAACGATAAATTTAGTTAGTTAGTCAAAGCACGTATTCATGCAGTTGGTTGACATTTTGAGGTGAAATTCCCGATACTGGATCCCATTAATTTAAGTGCTCTTTTACTGATTTATTCGATGAGGTTGTATGTAAGCTTTGCGCGGCCAAGCGTAGTAAATGCAACGCAGGGTGGAACGTGGTTCCACCTCTGGCAGTTACTTGATCTCGGGTCAAGAGGGCGCACCATTTGCGTCCATCTAATTGTTGCCTATCAACCAGAAATGTGTTTGGAGTATCGCGGTATGAGAATACAGCTGCAATTCACTATCCAGTAGAATTTATTATTGAGACAGCTCACACTCTTTGATTCATGTTTACATCAGCTATAGGTGGATAAACAGCGGAAAAAGCATGTATCCGTTTTTGTCACTTATTCCGTTTTCCTACCCTTATCTTACCGTCTTGTTTGGTTTTTAAAATGCACAATAATATTTTAGCCCGTAATCCGAGGGTAAAAATCATAATTTTTTACACAAAATTCTTCGATTTGTGGAAACAGTTTTGGAGTAATATATGAACCAACCTGATTAACTCATACTCATGAATACATGAGAAAACGTATTCAATCAGTCTGCCAAGAATGTGTCTTGTGCAGCCATGTAGCTTTAAATTCAGAATATGACAAACAATAAAATAACGAGGAGCTAGTCTTAAGTCTCAAGTTTTTTAAATATGTTGGCAGTGCTATTATCACGGAAGTAGAATGTCCACAATTTCTGGATTGGCCAAGATTTTAGCAATAAAATACATGACAAACGAAAGCCAATATTTGAAATAGAAAACCAACTGACAGAGGTAGCGCGCTACGGCTACTGCGCCTATTTATGGGCATGTTTATATAACAACTA